GTAAGTGGATACAGAATTGCACCCTAGGACTGTAATCTTATACCCACTTCTCATATATAAGCCCCACTGAACTCAAAGGGATTTACTTTTGAGTAGAAATGCATATGATCATGCTATATAAGTGGTCTGAATTTACATATTTATATCCTTAAATCTTATTTAATCCCTATATCCCTTAATTACAGTAACTGGTATTTTCATAAACATTTTATATATTATTCAGAAATACAGCTTATGCTTTATTTTAAAATAATGTTCATGATGTCTTATGGATTTTTACAATCCCATTAAATATCTTCAATAACAAGTTTAACTGCTGAATCATTCATTTGCGTTAATACTGTCTTGGAAACTAGAAAAAGAGGTGACAAGAAATTCAAATGAAGCATCTCACATTGTTTTTAAAATGTTACTACTGTCCTCACTAGGTATAGATTGTGCTACATTTATTCAAACAGTACAACAGCATCCCAAAGCTCTCTGATAAATATTTCTGACAAAAGTGAATGGTATTTGCATAGAAACAGACAGACACAGAATAACCTGACCTATACATGTTCACTTAAGAAATTAGCCCATTAAAAACAAAATCCTAGCTGCTCTATGCAACTATCACAAACAGGCTGAGAGCTGATGACTGAAAAAGTGTTCACTGCTTGTGACATGTTACATTATTCCTAATTGCAGAATTTTGTACATTCTGAAAAATCTAATTTTTGATTAGAAAATGTAATTCAGGGTGGATGTACACCCTAAATGTGAAGCTTCACTCAAATATTGTGTAGTACTAGTCAACTTGTGCTCATACAATAAAAATAACATTATACCCAAGAGGGCTAGAGAAAACCCCAAGCTTTGTAAAAGTACAGAAAACCTTTAGGAGGGGCTATGGGTGGAGAGAACTCCAAATCAGCCTAATAAGAACTGCTACATTTTGTTGGCCATCCAATTCATCATTTTCAGTTCCCTTAAAAGATGTTGCTTATCACTAAAGAATATCCTCCATTAAAACTGCAATTCAGAGCACTCCAGAACAAATTTACAGAAAGTGCAAAAGAATTTAGAAAGAGTTATTTACTGAAAGAAGCATCCTTCTCTTGACTTAAATTCTGAAAGTTATACCATCTTCTCCTATTTGCTTTGCAACAGCACAATTGCTTACATCACTCAACATCTCAATAGCTGGAGAGCCAATGCAGAATTTCGGAATGTTATGCCCTCATATACCTGAAAGGTGTTGGAATTATTCATGATAATATTGGTGGGTGCATATTGGCATTAAATTACACCAACCTGAAAATGGAGGGGGGTATCACATCTGGGACTGTTTAGCTTAGAGGAAAGACAAATAAGGGGAAACATGATAGAGGTCTAAAATTATACATGGTGGAGAAAAAGTGGAATGGGAGATATTTTTCTCCCTTTCTCATAATACTAGAATCTAATGGGGTCATAACAATGAGGTTGACTGGTAAAAGATTCAGGACAGATAAGAGAAAGTACTTCACACAGCGTATAAGTAAACCATGGAATTCACTTGCACAGGAATTAGTGATAGCCACCAATTTAGACAGCTTTAAAAGGGTTTGGGACATATTCAAAATAAATAAATAAAATATTCATGGAGAAAAAGATGGGCAATGACTATTAGTTCCGATAAGAGGCAGTATGCCATACACCAGTTGCACTTAAGTCCTGCTTATAGATTTCCTGTGAGTAGCTGGTTGGCCGCAATGTGAACCAACATTGTTCTGATCCAACCTAACTCTTCTTATATTCTTAAATACATTGAAATTCTTACCTGCATTTTAATAAAATGTGTTAGGCATCTATCAAATCCATTATCTCATGGTACAGATCTATATTGGCTTGGTTCACACAATAATGCTAATCCATGGTATGGATGTTTGACTTTTAGGTTGCTGTATTGTGTGAACATAGCTGTACTAACAACCATTCTTTGCTAATGATAAACAAAAGGAAAAGATATGGTTTGGTCTTAGCTTGTGAGTTCCGGGTTCTTTAAATCATGGGTTGTCATTAGGTATGAACCCAGACCCATGGGATGTTCATGGGATTATGAGTTGTTCTGCCATGCTACAGGCAGCAGACAAGAGTCCTTGCTCGCTCGCTCGCTCGCTCGCTCGCTCTCTCTCTCTCACACACACACACACACACACCATTGCTGTATATACTATTACTATTGCTCATAAAAGCATTTGGGATACAGGGAAAAAGCAGACAAAGGAAGAAGAAAAACAAACCCAGCAATTGAAAAAATAAACCATGGGCTAACATTATGTGTGAATTAGGCCATAGATGATATAGTAATTGGGCAGTGGTGGGTTGATGATGAAGCTCATAGAAAGACTTCTTTCAAATAACCCAGATTGCCCAATCCTGACCATTTCTGACTATGTGAAATTACAGTAGTAATTCAGTTAACAGAACTGTACATTGCACCTTGTGCAGGAACCCTTATACTGCAAAGTTTTTTGCTGCCCCCAATGGTCCACCTTAAATGCACTGAATGAATTACAGAATAAATAGACAGGCGGACAATTGATAAACTGGCTGTTGTTTTAAAAACTTGTTTCCCTCAGAGTTAATACTGCCAATCTCAGATATTCTTCATGCAATCCTATAAAAAGTCACAGATCATTATGAATCCCACTGTTGCAGAAATTTTGGTTCTTCAAATAAGAAAAGAGCCATCCATTTCCCTGTATCTATACTGAGAATTTTCACTGGAATCTACAGGAGAGCCTTGTATGGACTGAAGGTATATTACTCTTCAAATAATTTCAGCAAAGTCAAATACTTAAAAGCTATTTCATCACATCAGCTTCCGCCTTGGAATAGCAGGCAGGAATTACATTGCCAGCCTGTTAAAATGTTAGCAACCACATTTCATTTTTTGAAAAGGCAATTTATTTGTCCTGAAATAAAGAGTTGATTATATCTCTTATTACTGTTACAAGAACTTGATATATCGCAAAGAGGAAGAGTTACAACATGTACCAACTATCAACCAGGAAAAATGAATCTGATTCATAATTCACTTTGAGAATGTCTAGTTAGTCAATCAAGTGATTTGTAATCATAAAGGCTGCCAGGAATTGAATGAATAACGGGCCATACTAAAATCCTTGGATTTCCTAGTATTCTTATTTCATTATGTGACTTTTATTGCTATTGCTGGTAGTTGTCTCTACTTCAGTAGAACAAATTAAACACCATACAGTTATTTGCATGCATCTATCTGGCCATATAATGCACATACAAAGAGCGTGTCCAGTCATGTAATAGACAAAGCTAGTTGTTTCTTTGTGGAAACTGAACCTTTTTATGAGGTAAAACAAGTGCAGAAAAAGTCTGTACTCCCTACCCCTGAAAGCATTTGCAGGGTAATGAATCTTAGCATAGATCATACGGTTACAGTACATTTTCTCAAGTTATTTTATAACTATAGAAATGACATAATTCATACAGCATGCCATCTGTTTAACAGCAGCATCCCTTTCACTGCCTTTTAATCGTTACAGATCATCAAGCTATTCTCTTAGCTAAAAAGCAACAACCATATTATAGCATACTAAATAGCATGTGATCTCCAGCAGATTTCTGTAAAAACAGGAATGCAACTAAAGGTAAGGAAAGAGAAAAGTGAACTATACTGCCCGTTGTCATTTGACACTTGCCTTCCTGAATGTATTTTGTATTCATTCAGTTCCTTTTTGCCTAAGAATAATAGATGCGGTTCTAACATTACACAGTACCACCATAACAAAACAGTATTTATTACATATTAATTTTCAGACATGTTCAATCACATCCAGGGATTTTTCTTCCTTTTTTACATTTATCATTAACATTTTCATATTGATTTGAAATTTTTCACTGCTTGGACCAAAGCTAATTGAGCAAATATAATCAGATAGAGTAGATGGTTAAAAAGCTATAAAGCCCACTTGCTGCAGTGTATAGTGTATCTCCATGATTTACATATTCTTTTAAGAAAAGTTTTTTTAAGTGATATGCCTGACATATTCAGTATGATATATTTTTACAGTTGCATTTTTATCTTTTATACCGAAGGACCATAAACTCTACAATAGCTTTATCAGCTCCATCAGCAATCCATATGTTTAAATCAAACTTCCTATTAAAACTAATTGTGGGTACCCATAAAAATTGATCCAAAATATGATTGTTAACTTCCGCCTGCAATGAAATGTAACTAGCCCCAGAACTAATATGTGAGATGTGCTGCTAACAGTTCATCAGCATCACATCACATTCCAGTGCAAGAACTCTTTCCCCAAGGAAAAATTATGACAGAAATACTTAGATTGAAGAGCTGATAAACAGTGCAATCCTATACATGTCTACTCAGATTCAAATTCCATTGAGTTCAGTGGGGCTTACTCCAAGGTAAGTAGATGTATGATAAATGTAGTATAAATTAATTGAAAACACACATTCAGGTTTACATTTGCATTAATCATAGATGTAACAGAATGTATGCCTATAAATTGTAATAATGCCTTAAGGTCCATAACATCCAGTTTTATGTTTAAAAAATACATTAGCTACTTTTATGAAAGTTTTTTTTTTGCAAACAATTAGAAATCTGCATTTTCTCAATGAAATCATTACTCTAAGATAAACAAGAATGATGGCTATATTAATAACAGTGATAATTGCAACTGCATCTTTTTTCCAGTTACACAAGTGGAAAAAAAAGAAAATGAGGCAAATAAAAATTGTCCTTCAATGAATTCTGAATTCATAATGCTGATATTTCATCATTTGATAAATTAGTAAACAAATGGTTACAAAATGCCCTCAACTTCTTATTCTTTTAAAACTTCTGTTGACTATAAGTGAAAACAATATTTTCTATTTATACTATGTGTTGTTCATAACCACTGAAATGAATATATATAAAGGTTGCAATCCTATATCAGTCACCTAACAGTAAATTCCATAAAACTTACTTTTGAGTAGACATGCATAGGATTCTGTTGTAAGTGTGTAAATCTAGGAGAAATGAAAGACAGAATATGAATAAACTGCGGCCCTGCACTATCATACACTAGCAAGAATATGCATGAGTTATTGCAAGATTTGATTTATTATGATATTAAATTGTTGTAATATTGAATGCTTTCCCCCAAAAAACACTCCTAGGTCCCATTGGATATGTGATTCATATGCTCAAGTGTTTTAGAAAACTGGAATGAAATGAAGAATTTAAGTGTCTTAAAGACTCCATTTACTTACAAGTATATACCATCAAAATCAATGGCATGTACTTCCAAGTAAATGCGTTTAGCATAAAGCGTGAGGCTATGATCCTAGGCACTCGGAAGTACATTCTACAGAAATCAATGGGACTTGTTTTATATAAACATCTTTAAAATTGAAGTGCAAGCATATTAAGGCACGCATCTTTAACATGTATGCATAGCATAATTGGTGCCGCTTATATAAATTAAGGTTACCGGCTGAGTCCCTGACAATCTAAACTTGGTCCCCTCCTTTCTGCAAGAAGCTCTTGAAAAGACAGCTACAAAATGTAATGTATGAACTCATGCAAAGGTTACCAAACTGCAATCAGATGGGTTGCTTTCCTATCTATCTGGAACAAATTGGAACTAACATGTTTAAGTCTGTACAACACATTAACATTCCTGAAGTCCTCCAGACTCCTCAGAGCCACTTTTGTTAATGGTAGCAATTTTCTCAATACTCTGAAATGTTGTAAAAGTAAAAAGCTGCTAAGATGTTTAATGCAGTGTAGAGTTACAGAGACAATTGGATATAACTAATTCTGATAGCTTGGTCAAACATAAGAATATACATTTGCAAGATCCCACCACATGGAACAAAAGGGACTGTACAGAACAAAGCGTTCACAGAGTAACTTTTTAGCACTTTGTCAAATGCATTTTTAATAAAACAGATGCTTGTAACAAAACTAAACATTTCCTTTCCTTTTTTTCCTCATGGCATATATTTCCTTTTGGATTAGCAGAAATTCATTGTTCATTAGAATTTGCATTCTTTAACTAGACAGATTGGCTGAATTGTGCTACACTTCATGTAATTTGGCAAACATCACCTTAATCTCTGATATAACAACAAATAGAATAGGGAAGTGGATTTTTTCTATCATTAATATAAAAGCTTTGCAGTGGCAGAGGTTAATGGTTGGGCAGGAGACTAAGCATCCCCTTTAAATATCATTCAAAGCTGTTTGCATATTTGCCATTTCAATGTCCCTTAGTCTTATATCACAAATGCATTAAACTTCTAGGTGATTAATAAGTTCTTGCACAAAAAAAGGATTCACTAAGACCTATCAGGCTACTAGATTTCACAATTTATTAAAAAAAAAACAATGTGTTGTGTTATTTTTATCGGTTTTGCATGGAAAACTCAAATCAACTTAATTTGTGGGGAAGTAGTGAAAGATTCTGTGATCATAGGAAAATAAATTAATATTGCACAAGCCTTCTCAAGCCAACTACTTCTGTCAATGGATAGTAACAAAATGCCCAGGATATCAATCATCTATCCTCTCTCTATTGCTGCACAGCAAGCAGTGATGGAAGCTGCTTAAACAAAAACCTGTACACTTTCTTTTGTCTTTACAGCTTTGATTCTACAATGAGTAATTAGGGCACTAACATAAATACTTACATGTTTCACAGTCCCACACTTATAGTATAACTGAGAGTATTTCAAGCCAGCTAGATAAAAGCATCCTAACTGGAAGACTGCCTTTCACTACATCAATCTAGAGGCCTCAGGATCAAATCCAGCCCAACAAGAAGTACCAACTGATCACCCAATTGCTGATTCAGAGACCAGAGGGGCAGGCAGGGGATGCTATGTTCTTATGAAATTAACAGTAGTCCTGGCCAACAGTTGTCTCAGGACAATGGATGTTCACTGACCACATTCCACCTCCACCTCAAAGTGTCTCTCCTGTAAAACTAGTAGGTTACCATTTCCTGCAACTCTGCCTTGCCATCACATTATGGAGTATGGACTAGGAGGTAGAATCTTATTTGCTGCTACTTAATTGAGTCTGTTTTGCCTCCTTCCCTGCTTTAGTTGCAATTGGTAACCACTCACCATTGGTAGGAGTAGAAAATACTCGTATGCTGCTGTGTCTGGAATATTACCTACTTAACATCCGTCAGCTTCCATTATGGATTTCTAGCACTAGCAAGAGACCAAAGTCGCTTGTTCCCAATTACAAATAGTGGGGGGGACCCTAACCCAAAGCTAGCATGTCTCTTTGTTGAACTTGTACCTGCTGGGCAGGTTGGGGTTATTGCTATTCTGTAATGCTGGCCTATGTTTCTTGTGAGGATCAAGTGCCAATTCTGAAGTGCTAGGTGTTAGATCCTGGTTCCCGTCCTGAAAAAATAACCTGATTGATATTGAAGGGGTAGGAGGAACCCTATGAAATGATGAAGGAAAACTCTGGGCCAGCTGCTGTTTTTTTAAAATCAATGTTTCATACTTGAAAGAGATGCAAGCACTGAAGGTAGGAGTGAAGAAACATTCCGCTAGACTTTCCTAATGTAAATGAAAAGGCACTGAGTAAGATACTTTGAAAATACTGATTTCACAGATAGCTTCTGTAATTTTTATAATTTCATAGTTCCTGTAGCATCAACATTTACATCACAGGCTGCATCTGACCAAGCCTAAAAACCTCTGCTCTGCCAGCTGATGGAAATAGGTATCTGTGCACATGTGATACCCCCTTTCACTTCAATAAGATTTGCACAGGAAAAGTTTCCAAATGCCATTTTAAGAACAACTTTTAAGAGAGTAACAAAGCCCACAGGGAAGAGATTTGCCACCAATAATCAAAGATGCTGTCTGAGGACCGATCATAGTCCACAAAACCACTGAACTACTGATCATCAGTCTCTCCCATTGGCTTTGAGTACAATGTATTTCTCACAGTCATGCCCAATTCAAATACATGTTGGTCACTTGTCTGTGTCTGCTCTACAAGCTCATCTGTGCCTGGGGTTAGGTTACTCAGTTTGATTCAATAGAACCACTATTTCTGTTGCATATCAGAATCTGTCTTTATTAGTGGTCAAGGGATCAACTACCCTTTCAAGTTTGTCTTTATGTTCATATAAAGAGTAAAGCTATGCTCTCATTCATTTACTTAAATGCGACATCATCTGAACATAGCATTGTCTTTCTTAAATAATAATAATAAAAAGAATCCCAGAAGAGCTGTTCATGGTTTCAACTGGGATCTGAAAATATGAACTTGTTTCAAAAGCTGAAAAATAGCTTTAATCAGACAAAAACATATTTTTTTTACATTTTAAAAAGGGTTTTCTTTATTTTGGTACTTAAGAGTTTCATATATGAAGCTTCAAAAATACCACCTCTGGGAGGGGAGCTCTTTCTTAAGAAAAGCTTGTTCAGATGAAAGGCACATTTCCCATAGATCACGAGAATAAAGATGTTAATAATGTACAACTACTAAGAAACCTACAGGAGTTCAGGACACCATATGGACAGAAACTAAGCTTTAACTATGTGTAAATCCAGCACTGGCATAGACAGGGGGGCTCAATTTGGTCTAAAGACAAACTGATCCTAAGGTCACAGCTGGAAATGCTGTGTGTGGTCTCACCCAATGTTATATTAGTTCTGGTGCTAAGTGTTAATCTCATGTGCACTTTGAATGAAATAACTGAGAATTAAGTTTTCAAACAATATAAATTAGAGAAAACACATCGTAATGTAACATTAAGCCTTTCCGTCACAAGGATGAAGGTGCTTTTATATGCAGCTCTTAGAACCGATGAGTGTTAAAAGGTACAGTAAGCGTAAATCCGTGAGGAGAGTACATCTGTCACTTCAATAGGCATGCACTCCTATTCGAGGGGTTAATGTTTGCTAATCTAGCTGGCTCTTGTTTCTTTCCAGTTTTGTAGGGATGAAAGGCTGCGGCCCTGTTTTAGACTTTCAGATTTGGATTTCACTGAAATTCATCTTACTGCTTTATTGTAGGTGGCAGAAGAAGGGGGCAAAAGGATACATTTACTGTTTTGGCTCAGATTTGCCACGCAGTGTGAAAAAGAGATGATAAAGCATTTGAGGAATTAGCAAACGTGACCATAAAGTGCTCCCAAGTGAGAGCCATTTTAGGCTTTTTTATCAATGATCTCCTTTATTATATTGAGCCATGGCTTGGCTACTTATTATGGGGGACTACATAAACAATTTGAAGCCTTGCTTTAAAAAGATTTCTGCTCCTCTAAGAAGAAGCACGTTTTCAGTTGACCCTGAATTATTTTTGGAAGATCCATTAAGGAACAACAAATATAGATCTTCCTTCCTGGAAATACTTCATGTGAACATATTTCTGATGTAGCTTCATGCAATGTCTGTTAACTTGAAAGTCCCACTAAGTTCAGTTGGGTTTATACCCAAGAAACTGTGCACAGGATTTGTAGCCTTATCTGATGTGAGGGAGGGAAGGGATGGCCTAAATCAGAAGGGCAGAACCTCAGGATCAGCAGCCCAGCCCAGCCAACCTGGGAGCCAAATCCAGCTCCCTGGAGTTTCCCAGAAGGCCAACCCCCCTTTCTCCAACAACCACTGATCATTTGCTAGTTTCCTGGCTTTTGCACTTTGAAAATGTCTCTCCTTAGTCTTTGTTACTGGCAATAAACGGTTTAAACTAAAATGTGCAGGTATTTTGACCCTGCCCCATATTGTCTTCTGCCCCACCCACCACTAGATTGCATCCATTGAGAATTTCTCTGAAATAAAATTCAGCCATCAAGATGAAATAGGTCCAACCCTCCTGTACTAGTCCTCCTATACTGACTGGTCTAGTCATTTGTGTGTTACAGGCCTTTAGCGGGTTCCTGGACCTGTGTTCTATTTAATTTGGTTTGGGGAATTTGTCTCCGTACAGTTATATCACACCACTATGCTTCATACATGCCTTTATAGGGCAATTTGTATGTGCTTTTCGTAGCAACACCATACCCATCATTATATTGTGTTTACCGTGTCACTGATGACAGATCATCAAAGCATGAAGTGCATAGGTTAAAACTGAATTTGTTCATAGGAACAGACCTAAGAAATGTAGAATTTATTGCCCGAGTTATGCATTAGTCATTAGTTCCAAGTATGAATGCATGTAGGACTAAAGGCAGTGGCCACAGTGGTCCTCAGACCACTTTCTCCCACTTATATGATGACCAAGTTTACTGGGACGCCATTAGGAAAGTCATATTCTTTCTATATTTTAGGTAGAATAGATTGCTTAGCATTTTATGATAAAAGTGAGGGAAAGGAATCTTATAGGAGTTTATTTTGAAGACACATACCTAATTTCCCAAGGTTTATTCACAATTCATGGTTACTCAACTCTAAATCCCTCTGTGAATTGGATGTTTCAGCAAACAGGATCTGAAAAGAAGTTAGAAGCAAACTAAACTAACTAGTGCTCCCATTGCATGTTCATCTTTTCCTGTGATGATTCACTTGTCCGGGTCACTTTAGCTACCTGGAATATTAAGGGTTGGATCCAGATCAAGTCACAGTTGGAGTAAGTCATCATAATCAAGTTAATCATGAATAACTTACATCCCAAGGATTCAGTGGGCCTGGTCCAAGTATGGCTATACATGGATCTCAGCTTTATTGGGTAGAGTATCCTCTTGTATAGGTTGTGGCGCACTAGTTTCTTTAACTGGATTCCTACTTTGGTGTCCTCTTGTTTTAAATATATGGTATATATAAATGTATTTATATTCTATAAGCATATTTAATGATTTTAAGTTTGGTTTGTGAACTACCCAGAGAACTTTGGCTAACAGTTCAGCGTAGAACTGAAATAAAATAAGAAACAATATGCTGTTTGGCATACTATGGGCAGGATTGTCTGCACTGATCTTTGGATAACAGCTTTGTGTATATTCCTACCTTTAAGCAGAACACTGAATTTTGTGACTTTTGTCTTCTTTCCAAATTTCAGACTAAACAAAATCTGCCTAGAAGATCTGCAGAAACCACATTGGCTCACTACATAGCTCCCTCCTATGCCTGTCAATGGGGATCATGAAGGAGGACCTCTAAATGGATTTTATTTAACTGATTTTTATAGCTCGATGAAGGTAAATTATTTCTATTGTAAAGTAACCAATATAGTTCAAGGGAAAAAGTACTAGACAGGCTTGCATCTAAGCAAGTTACTCTTATAGCACCATAAGAGACAAGAATTAAACAAGAGCAGTATTTTGTATTCACATATCTCTTTGTATTGAGGAAAGCCATTCATATCAGTGGGTCTACTCTTGAACTCACAAAAAGCAGAGAGCCATATTTGTTCCATAATTGATTGGTTGATTATTGCCTTGTCCCAGCAGCCTGCTTGAAATCTGTTAGCAACTAGCACAGGGCAATCCAGTTCAGTCTGCAAAACTCAGTCTTAAACTGTTAAAACAACAGATAATGTGGCTTTATCGTGCCACTTCTTGCTTCCACCCACACTTGCATTTGTTCAACATCCAGCCTGATAATGAGCTTTGAAGAACTTAAAACAAGATACTCAAGAACTTGCTTTACTATCTGAGCTGATCATAATAAAGGTATGGCTGTTCTCTAGGTGTGGAATAATTACAGAATAGTCCTAAATTTGTTTATTCAGTTTCAGTTCCTTGCCTGTTCATCTACAGTAATACCCATAGCCAAAATTATTTCAAGAGGAATTATCTTTATAATTTACCACCGTAAGTACATTTTTTAAATGTTGTATTAGATAAAGAAAGGTTGAAGTTCCCTATCTGAACACCAAGGAGGAGAAGTAGCATCTACAAGTGTTCACAAAATAGTTTTTAAAACCCCACGCATACATACCATAGGACAATAACTCTTGTCAAAAGGCTTTCATTGAGCAGATTCCACCTTGATAAATTTTGAAACTGATCAGATACTTGTCTCCCACAATGGTTCCCAGCCCCTGGCTGTCCTGGCATTCCATCAGAATCCAGGAGACACTCTAGGCCTGAGGAACAGAGTTTCACCAGACAGACAAAATTAGACATTGAGCAGATTACACTATGAGACATATTCCAGAGTGTCAGAGCACTTCTCTTCAAAACCACATGGAGGTTGCTCATTTCTTACCTGGGCCATAGTCCCTGTATAATGCATTAGCATGAAAATGACAATCTGAGTCATTACTCAGGCCAAAGTAAGTTTAATATAAAGAAAGATTGGAAACTGTTAACAGTGCAATCCAATCATGAATACTCAGGAGTAAGTGGCACTACATTACTCCCAAATAAGTGGGCATAGAATTTCAGCAGTAATCCTTTTTGTTCCAGTGAAATGGCTTAAGTGGCTTGCAGGCCAGAGCTGAGCATTTAACTGTGCCTGCAATTGTTAACACTTACCCTGTTAACTTAAATCAGGCCATCAATTAATTGCTAGTTTAAATCATCCTGTGGTGACTAAATATTTTCTTCAAAGAAGCAAATATTCAGGGTTGCTAGATCTATTCTTACCTACAATCCACATCTCTTGATTTAGGCAATACAGCAAAAGTTATTTCCCAGTCATAAATGTAATTCTTCTTACTTGAAAATTGTTGCTTTTATTATCTCTCTTGCAGGTAAAGACAGCAGGTCAATTCACTGAAGCATCAGGCAAAAGTAGTCAGTCAACTTCTTTTAAAGTCCTTAATAGATTGACAGCCTAGTAATTTCACATAAAATATAAGCTGTTACTAATAAATCAATGGTTTCCAGCACTGGAAACAAATCACTTTGGTGAGATACTCTGCATCTCCAAAATGTTGTTTTAGGGTTGTTGACTGATAGTGGTTTTTAAAAACATAAAACTTTCCCAACTGGACCAGCCTTATCACCAGTTCTCTGAAAACAAGGCATTTCGATTAATTCTGTTTGAAACCCTTTAATTTCCTTGGGAGTAAAATTGGTTCAAAAGCCCAAATACTCTAGCTAAACTGGGCTGAGGATCAGATTGGCAAGCTCCTTATGTAATGGGTATTACTTCTCTCTGCTGAATATTATATTGCCCACCTAGCTTTAGAGTCATTCATTTTTTTACCCAACCAAATGACCCTCTTAACGCTTCCAGACAAATTGATCCGGTGGTTTTCTCTCTACATTGCACTCATGAGGGGACTCTGAAGCCTGACATATCTTAGCAATATTGCAGACAGACATACAGAGAGACAGATCGATAATAGATTAGCTATAGGCCGACGCTTAATATAAAAAAAATGAACTCTTGCTTTTCCTTATTTTTTTCCTATGGAACTAGAGCTTGTGGCTGAGTATCAACATGATGCCCTTTAATGGTTTTCCAATGGCCTCTCATTATGTAGAAGCAAGGGCATTTTAGCTGGTGCTAACACTAAAGAGCCTTAGGTGCATGTTTAGGATCTAAATCCAAGGTTGTGTGCTATACCTGGGATTTATTGCTGACCAGTGACTTCCTGCATGAGAAACTGATCATGAAGCCATGGCTGTGGAAGTTCAGAGATCCAAAGGCATAAAGGCATTCTACACATACTGGGGCACTCACTTCTTTTTAGTTTTACTTTCTTTTGCTTAGCACTGGCAATGAAGCTTAGCACCAAAGATAGGTCCCAGGACACAAGTGTCGAACTTGGTTTTCAGTCATTTCCAATTAAATAGTCCCCTCCTTTTCCACCCACCCCCTTCTGCCTTAGGGATTATTACTACTATTTTAAACACCCTCTTTAAAGTATTCACAGATCCAGTACTTCTCAACACTGCACAGGCTACCAACTTCTCCCCAAGACCATAAGGGGCTCTGTGTTTCTATTTTTACACAAAACTGGCTGATTTGTCTTAGACTATTACTGTCTATTACTGCTGGAAGTCTCGGGGAAAGGTGGGAAGCGGCAGATTCTGGCAATCTGCCTAAAGACAAATCAATGAAACAAATTAATCCTTCGCAGGCTGCAATGACACAGTAATCCATCATTCAGGACTGCTTTTATACACCAAATCAGAGAGCAGAGGGAAAAGCCCAGGGGAACATTGCAGACAACAACTTACACCAACACTGGGAAAATACAGAGGGATCCGTTTATTTAAAGAGGATAGATTTCACTTGATTGCTTGTTTCACCCTATAAAGATTTTTTTTCCCCTCCCTTTCCCTGGCTGGTGTGAGAAACGATTGGGTAAATGACTATATTTTCTCAATCCGCTTTCGACCCATCCACTGCTTCTCAAAATCTGAGCACCCTCTTCACCACCTGAGGCCTACGACAGTAGCAGTTCAATGCCACATATGCAAGATCGCACCAGTCTGCACCACATTTTCAGTCTGGAGTAATTGCACAGTAGTTTCCACTAGTTAGATTAAGCTCCCCATAAATAAGGAGGCAGAAAGTATAGCCTTTTTAATCATACCTAGTGCTCCAATCATGGTAAAAGGTTCCTCTTCCATACAAACAGTCTAACCCTATACCTGTCCATACAGAAGTCAATTCCCACCAAGTGTAGATGAACCAGCAGAAGGCTATAGCCCCATTTAACTAAGCAAGCTTACCTCCGAGTAGACATCGCTAAGACTGCGCTGTTTAATTTTCACCTGCGTCCCTATTCTGATATTTAATGGGACTCCGTTAAATACTGAACTGTGGAGGTAACACCACTGAATCAGCCTGCTACACGCAGAACCAGGCCCTGCCCTGCTTCCAAGCGCACCATCATCACGGGTTTGCTTCCCGCGTTTGCTTCCTCTACTATCTCGGCGTAGGAAAAGTGGGTCAAATCCACTTTCGCCACTCTAAATGACCCTTTGGGACGGCGCTCCCGGCATGGTTAAAAGAATTTCGGCCAATGCAGCCATGATTAACGTTTCCGCAGAAGTAAATCCCTCTGTCTTTCAGCAAAGCTTACTTCGAGGGACATTTGGATACGCGTTTAAACCTATGCTGTGCACGCAGGATGCATGGGTGCAACGACGGGTGATCTGAGCCCGCATTGGGTGGAAACTATTCCGGGGTTATTAAGACGAGCCTCACACACGGCTTGGGGTGCGTGCCTTGAAGCAGCCTCGCACCATCTTCCCGTTGCCTTTCCACTTACCCACGCGGGAGTTGGTCATGGCAAGGCCCGTTTGCAAACAGTACGCCCCTTCTTCTCCTTGGTCCGTTCCTATGATCAGACTCAGCTTGAAGAGGCCCGAGCTCCCCAAACCTAGCCGAGAGAGAAGCCCGTGGGAATTAAAACCAGCCCTTCCCAACTTGGAGCCTTTCAGGTGTGTTGGACTGCAAATCTATCCTCCACAGCCAACACAGCGGCTGGCAATGATGGGAGCTGCAGGCCAACATCACCTGGAAAGCCCCGGGTTGGGGAAGCCTGCCTCCAGACTCGAGCCTAGGGGTGCTCACACAAGGGGGAAAGCGTTCATCTAGCTCCCAGTATTGTCTCTGCAGCAAGGCTGGCCGAGAAACGCTGGGAGTTGTTGGTCTTCATCTTTAGGGCTGAAGCCTTAACCAGGGACAAGGCTGCGGTGACCGAGCGGAGCAAGCTGCAAAACCTTTGTGGCTCTTTAAGGTCCCGCTGGACGCGTGGCTCCCGCTGCGGCGGCGGCTGTTCTCAGCTTGGGGCCCCGAGCTTCTCGCAGGCATCGGATCCACCTTAAAGCGCGGGGCGCTTCGCTCCGCTCGTGCGTTCGCCAGCTGCCCCAGCCGGGCGCAAGCCCCACCGGCTCGCTGAGGAGCGGCGGCGTCGCTGAGCCCTCGGCGGCTCGGGACTCTCCGGGCTCGCCTAACAGGACGGTCCGATCGCCAGGGCTGATCTGTAGGGAGGAGGAAACGATGCCCCGGCCGACGCCTCTCGAGGCAGGGCGCTGGCCGGTTGCCTTCCCGTGGCAGCCGAGGAGCGCCAACGTGACCCCAGCTGCATTTCGGAAGAGCAGACGGGGTCCTGGCCGGATCCGGGGAATGGGAGCAACACCCGTCGAGCCTTTTTTAACGAGGGCCTCATCCTGCTGCTTCTGAAGGATAGCTGGAGTTAATAGCTGGAGTTCAGTTCCTCCACCGCAGGTAGGGCAGTCGACCTGGAGCAGTGAGCCGAGGAGCACCTTAACCCTTTCCCAAACCTAAAGTCTGAAGTGTATACGCATTGCATGCACTGGTTCAGAACCACTCTTCATTAAATCCAGAAGAACATAGTGCACATGCATCCTGTGATAGTTCAATTTGGCCTTAATCAGAACTAATTAGAGAGCACTCCAATTCCTCCATTGAACCCAGTGGAATTTTCTTTTGAGGAACCATATGTAAGATTTTGCTGTTCACTTTTTTCCCATGCTAGAGCTCAGCCAGCTACCCTGGGTAGTCACAATGATAGCCAAGTGTCCCTGCTCATGCACAGAATGCCTTTCTCCCACCACTTTTGCAACACCTCTGGAATTAGCAAAAAGATATTCCTGAACAAAGCATCTACCTTCCAGGCATCCTTGAGCAGAGCCAAGCCTTTCTTGTAAGAACCACAGATCTTCCCATAGCACACAAGAAGGCAATAGACATCTTCTGACATTGTTCCCCAGCAACCAGTGTTCATGGGCATGTTGTATCTCCTCCTAGAAGTAGCATAGAAGCATCATGAATTGCAGTCACCTATACTTTTATTCTCCATGAGTTTGTCTAATCCCCTTATCAAGCCAGTTATGTCAACAGCCATTAATACAATTTGTGTTAATGAAATTCATTGTCTGACTATCTGCTGCTTGACGTAGAATTTCCTTTTATTCTTCTGCCCAGAATCCCCTACAATTCAGCTTCATGAGGTAACCCTAGCATCTTATTTTGAGAAAAACACCTCCGTATCCACTTTCACCATAGCCATGCACAACTTTTACTCCATCATCTCTATGCTCACCTGCCTTTTTCCAAACAAAAAAGGCCCAAATGTTCTAACCTTTCCTCATAAGAAAGTTGCTCCTGCACCCTGATCACCCTGCCCTGCACACACAACCCACACCATTTTGTACCTTTTTCCAGTTTTTATATTGTTTCCAAAAAGCATTCAGAACTATACACCTTATCATAAGTATGGATGAATCACACATCCATATAAAGGCACTATTTCATATTCTTATATATACTTGCAGTTTTATTTCCCATCTGCTTCATAATGATCCCTAACACACAGCCTCACATGGATTTGTGTTTTAATTGAGCTTACCATCACAACCCTAAGATCTTTTTCCTGGTCAACCACCCCATCAGAGTTTTTCTCTCACTTTATACTTACTTATTTTGAATCACATTTGCCATTTTATTGCTCATTCACACCATTTGGAGAAATCTTTTTGAAGCCCACAATCCATTTCTGTTTTTTACTACCACAGTGTCATCAAAAAACCTGGGCATCTCAGAACTTGCCCCTATCTACAGATCATTTATGAAAAAATTAAACAGCACCAGTCCCAGTAACAGATCCTTGAAGGAATCCCATTTCTTCTCTCCTTCCATTGTGAAAACTGCCCATTATTCCTAGTGTCTGCTTTCTCCTCTTTAACCAGTCACCAATTCATAAGAGTGCCTGACTCTTTCTCTTATCCCACTACAGCTGAGTTTATTCAGGAGCCTTTGAGGAGGAATTTTGTAAAAGGTTTTTGGAAATCCTAGTGTGTATTGAATCACCCCTATCTACATGCTTGCGGACACTCCTGAAGACCTATAAAAGATCAGCAAGGAAGGACTTAACTTTTCAGAACACATTTTGGTTCTTCTTCAGCCACATTTGTTCCATATATGTTAGACAGATGTTATCCTTAATATTGCTTTCCACCAAATTATACAGAACAGATAACGACGTAATCCAATGCATATTTAGACAGGAAAAGGTAAAAAAAAATAGCACTGCTGGCTAGGGAATGCTGAGAGTTGAGGGACTCTTGATTCTAAATACACATAGGACTACACCCCAAAGAAGCAATCCTATGGCCCCTAAATAGCACCTGAGGGACCATAGGAGACCTTGGATTCCCAAATCCAAGCTCAGACACAGTATTCCAGCCACAGGGAGGGGGAACCTGAAGGCCAGCACACACACACACACACACGCCACTTGTGACCATGTCTGCTACTTCTCCAAGGTCAGGAATCCAACCTCAGAGAGGAAGAAATTTTGGTGAGCGTAGAGGGACCTCTCTAATTTCTTTCCTTCCTTCTCTGAAATGCTTTCATTACACAAGCAAAACAAAAAGACACCTGAGTGAAAATGTAGCGCACACAGATGGGGAGATGGAGATCACCTCTGCCAGTTCTCCTGGCCTGCAGAGGGTGAGCATAAGCCTCCAAGTTGGGAGACTTATGACCATTGCAATAGGGTTGCCACTTAAGCTAACTGGTCCGGACTGGTTGTACTTATCCTTATCCATAGTATAGATTCTAGCTGAGGTTCTGTTATAGTGGTTTGATTACTCATGCACAAATGTTCTGGCAGATTTTGATGAACTTCACTTTTTGTTTAAACTTTCTTTTTACATCTTGCATCAAGTCCTAAGTGCCACTTAAGATTAAGTCAAGGGTCACTTCTCTTCTGGCCAGTCCCATGACCATCTCTCTTCTAGGGCACAGTCATTTTAGGGTACCTAGATTTGTGCTTCTTTGTCATGACTTGAACACACATTTATGTGTTCTATGTGAATTAATTTTGGGGCCTGGTATTGCTATCAACAGTGATTATGAAGCTATGCCTTCTTTGACGTACCACAAGAAGGACAAGAGCCAAGAGGCTGGATATGATGTGGGTATCGATGGAGAATTTCCATTTCTCTGGCCCTGTTTCTCTACAAACTGGATTTCCTTTCTTCAAGCACTAGGCTTCTGCAAATATTGTAAAAGACAATTTTGTAAGATTTTCAGAAGCCAGTCCCCCTGTGCTTGTTTCAGCTTCCTCCCAGGTTACTGGACCTTCACCCTTATTCACAATCATAACAAAGCTTTAAAGATGTGTAACAGCGTTTGCTGACAAATGTTGCACTTCTTAGTACTGGTCTCTCATTTACCGTCTGTCTTTTGTCTGTTTTCTCTGTTGCCTATTTAGATTGTTGAGTGGAGACTTGAACCAAGGTCTCCTCAGTCCTAGTCTGGCACTCTCACCATTACACACATACTGGCTTTCCAGTGTGTTGCAGTAATGTTTCGGCTAAGTTCTGCCATAAAACTTTGCTCAGAAGTCCCACCAAGTATTAGTTTAGTAGCTGCAAGTATGGATGTTACCCTTTCTGACCAAGCTGCTAAGGCCTCCCCTTCAGCTCTCTCTCTTCCTCTCCCTCTTCTCACACACACACACATATATGGGGGTTACATATTTTATTTTTGAGTTAAACAATCCTGTTTCAATGCTCTAAGCCCAAAACAATGTGATATACTGTGACTAGTATTGAGGCTGAGTGTCTGAAGCAAAGTAGAATCCATTAGTGCTCAAGCAAACACTTTTTCTCAAAAGGTTTTATTAGTTTGGGTGCAAAGTTGGTGTGAATGTCCATTTCCCTCGAGAAGGTAAAGTGCAAGGAGGGGTGTGCAATGGACTTCACGCTATGCTAAACATAGAAAAGACCCCTATAATATCTATCAAATCTTCAGGGGGGTGGGGGGAGATCTTTTCCAGTAGTCTGGTCTTGGAAAAGAAGTGGAGGGCATTCCATGGCCACACAGTGGGGGAAAAAATCAAGGCGCAAAAGGCGGAGAAGCAAAGTCTGCATCTGAACTTCCCTTGACAGTTCTCACATATGACAGCAAAGTGCTCTGAAGACTGGGGTTTTGAGTTTCCCAAAAGAGACAGGCTAGTTATAAGGTCCCAAACTCTGAAAGCATTCCCCCCTCTTTCCAGATATGTGCTGAGAGTGAGGATACATCCTTACTAGAATGTAAAATGCACTCTGCATGTGTTTAAATTCACTTAAAAAAACTGGAGCTGAGTCCTGATATTCAGCATCTGCTCCTATGCAAACCCTTATCACAGACTGAGACCCGACTAAGATTTCTATCATTTTTTTTCTTCTAAGAGCTTCATAAGGCTATCTATATCTTCACTGGACAGGTAGATAGCTGACAGGATAATTCTCATTAAATTCAGAAGACTTCCTTCCAAGTAGACATATTTTCGGATTGCCTCCCAGTGAGCTCATAACTGAGATGGGATTAGACTGAGCCCACTAGACATTTCCCACTAATAATTAACCTATCATGGAGAACATAATGGATAATGATGCCACTTTCTGACAAAGCGTAATATTAAATGTAGCATAAAGTTGCTACTATCTCTTTCTTACTCTTATTAGTAACCTCCTCCGTATTTTTCACTCTTCAATGCACAGCAATATTGTATTGCATGGTGGCAGAAATAATCACTTTTTCAAATCTTTACCCATTTTAAACATAGGTAGTAATAATAAAACAGATTGAAACTAGCATAGTCTCCAGCAGCGAAAACCAAACCAAACAGAAAAGCCTAAGTTTTGACAGGCCTAAATAGGAAATAAATGCAGCCACTCTTAGGAAGCCTTCTCTGTGCATGCAGCATGCTACTTGGGCATGGGGACAATGCCGTTAAGAAAGAGCCGTGACCACATCAGGACTCCTGTATGTGTTTGCTCAGACATAAATCTCATTGTATTCCACTGGGCTGTTTCCCAGGTAAGTGGATATGAGGCTTCAGCCTTGGACAATGCTAGTAGACATTGTGTTGCTGTGTTGGAACCAAGCCGCACAGGGCTTCAAAGGAATAAAATCAGCATTTTGAATGTTATAAGAACATAGTGCCAGTCTTAGAGCCATGGTATCATTATATGCTGTCAGTGAACCATCCAGTGCTGTCAGGAGATAGAATTCCAATTCTGCGTCAGCTGACACTTCCCATCTAGAGTGCATGTCAGCAGCCTGGTTCTGGGATTACGAAGGCATACTTGGTATTCCCAAGATGTTGGGACTGGAATCAAATTCCTACCCAAATGTACCTCTAACCAGTAACTTCTCTTCCTCCATCTGAAAGACTGGAAACCTTGCAACCTACCTCATACACAAAATCATTGTGAAGACAGAGGTGATAATGATCGAAAAGCTCTTCAACCCTTAAAAATGTAAGGTATATACCATGTGTATAAAAACCTGGTTCATCTGGTTCCAGAGTTCATGGAAGTGATTTATTTTTTTAGCCTTAAAGCCATAATTGTATGCATGTTTAGAGAGACAGAAGGCCAAGAGTTCCAAGCATGTCCAGCCAGAACATTAAACATGGCTGGCTGGATGTTGTAGGCCTTTCTTTCAATGCAAGTATGCTTAGGACTTCACTCTAAGCAACCTGGGTCCAACATTTCACCACAATGTTTAGTATCATCTAAGACAATCTTCAGGTATAGCTGTAGGCAGGACAATGAGAGCCAAAGGATTGCTGAATAGCCCTGCTTCTCTTGGTCCCTCAGCCCACTCTCCTCCTTACTCTCCAGCCCAACCCCTTTCCCATGCTGTAATTGAGCAGTTGGCATAGTTATATCCAGTGGTGCACTTAGGACATTTTAGTCTTTGGAATCAATTGTTCCTGTTTCAGGTAGTAATGATTCTTACTTCGTTTACTTCAAATTATGGCAAGCCAGCCCTCCTGCATTGATAGAAGGGGCTCCAGTGTCCATTCTGTTGAGTAGGGAATTGGACTTCTGCCCCAGAAGGCACCACTGACGATGCCCAGATGTCGTGCCTTGAAAACCAAAAGGGGAACCTTCCTTGCTCTTCTCACTTTCTTTAGCAACAGCTGAAGTATTGTAGAAAACAAGGAAAGGCGGAAACAGGAGTGTGTGTGTGTGTGTGTGTGTGTGTGTGTGAGAGAGAGAGAGTCCCCAAATTCAAAGGTTCTCCTTTATACTCCACTTAATAATTTAAGTTATAGGCATAATAAACATTATTAAACAGAGTACATTTTTCTCTGTAAGCTGGCAGTGATATGGGTTTTTTATTACCATCACTAAACATTGGTCTTAACTGTTGTTTTACCTTCTCTTTTACCTCCATTAAAAGTACTGAATCCTTGGAAAACCTGAGTTTGAATCCCTGTGTTCATTTCATTGGTAAAGTTTAATTCAGTCTATGTTCACCATGACAGATCTCCAGAACTTGTTATTAGCCCTGGAGTTCCCATGCACCAATAAAGGGAGAGTGTTTCTATGCATGTGCAAAGTACTATTTCTCATTACTAAACAGAACCAGCTCCCTCACATCTGGGTTAGAATGCAAAACTTCTGATTCACAGGATCAACACTTGCCTTTAAAAGTTGCACAGGATCAAAGACTGGCGACCTTTCCCATCACAGTGCTATAATAATGAGAGAAGCTATCTATGAATGACAATTGCCATCTGTGTGAAGCTCTAGTTTCCTACAGTTTAGTCCTCTAAAATATTTAGGTGCTAGGGTACTCTTCCTTATTTCAAGACCCCTTCCAGGATCTGCAAAAGTGAGAAACCTGTGATCCTCCAGATGATACCTGACTCCAGCACTCATCATCCCCAAATCAGCATTGCTGGTGGACATGCATGTCAAGAATTCTGATCCAATAGCTACAGGAATGCCACATGTCTAAGGAAACCCTCTTATAGGGACAGAGCAACAGACAGTATAATTTATCCACCCCCACCTCCAGATATAGGCTTTGTTGAATGTGGCCTCACCAGTTAGAGTCCAAGCTGTATTCACATTTTCCCTGTCTTTAAAAAGCTGCCTAATGCAAGGACCTGGAGAAGCTCTTGGGGTCAGGAGAAGTATGCTAATTGGGAGGGCCTAATTGCTTCAAGAAGCCGAGAGAGCCTTCATGATGGGCTTGGCCTGTTCCTAATAAAATGAAGAAGCAGCATGGACTTCAATCCCAAAATCAAGGGACTCCTGGGGTTTCCACAGGCTAACCAAATGACTTCACCTAGCCCCTTATCCCCCTTGGATGACATCTTGAGGGAAAGCAGACTCTCCTCAGCCTCCAGAGCCATAAATTGGTTGTGCTGAGGCCAGTAAATCTGGATTGATTTAAAAAGGCTTTTTCATCCTCCCAATCAAATGAAGTCACTGTTAATTAGATGTTTTCTGTTAACAGTGTCACTCCTGCCTATATTACCTGCTCACACATTCATTGGACTTATTGCAACATCTGGCTCTGCATTTTGGTTTTATTGTGCGAGTGTAGGTAAGTCACCTATTTTGGATATAAGGCAGGGAAGTTTCTGAAACTTCAGCTGATTTACTAGACTTCCATCCCCCATCTCCTGTTCTGCAGGTGAAACAGCTGTGATCTCTTGAATGGTGCCACACACAATTTTACTCTGGATTAAGTATTTTGGAATAGTCAAACCCATTGTTTTGCCACCCTTAAAGAACCCATTTTTAAGGGAGTTCTTGAAAGAGCAGTGAAAGCAATCAGTATTCATACCTACTAGTGAGTGAATCCCATTGAATTCCCTGTAGCTTATTTCAGCTTTTGACTGCCACACACCTATTCTTAAATATGCATCTGATCTGAGTATACATGGAGGTAAAGATTTAATAAGGAGCTACTCCTTGGCAGCTATAAATACCAATGAAATGAGGTTGTGCTAACCCAGACTAACTTCAGACAAATTCCAGGGGTAAGTCTTAATCTATTCATCCGAGGTTTTGGAACTTACTAAGAAAAGGTTTGAAAATTTTGAACTTACTAAGTATAAACTTGAAAATGGGAACATGTTTTCATGTCAGTGTAGACCAAATTGTACCTGTGATTATTTAAATGGGATTTTATAATGCAATGAATAGCATTCTGTAAAATTGGGACACTATTAGAAACCATCTCCTGCAATGGACAATCCTTTCATGGTTGTTGCTTTCCCTCCCAATAAATAAATGATTATAGCTATGAATTATTTTTGTGTGGGTTTTTCCCCTGAAGCCTGTATTCTCTGCATTTAAACCACCCTTTAAATATTGCTGCATATTGGATATAGAGATGGTGTGATATCTCTTGTAGGATGACCTCCCTGATTAATCGGTTAAAAACATGGTAAATTAACCAACTTTAAAGATTTCTATTTCATGGTGTATATGAGAGTCAGATGATGGGCAGCTGAAAATGCTCAGTAGACCAAATTAAGGGTTATATCCTTTCTATATTACAATTAAGGAGGTTTTATTTTCTCTCTCTCTTTTGCAGAGACAGAGCTAGGGAGTGGAGAGGGTGCATTGCAGCAGGGTGCAGAGCTTTACACCTCAGAAGTAATCCTATTGCACTCAGTGGGACTTCACCTACCAAAATGCCCAAACAGCAACACCGGACTCCCTGTAAAGTATCATTTTTAAAGGGCTTCTCTAAGTGGTATTGACATCTGTATGTCACAGTAAATTAAATAGGGATCTTGTATACTGAAGTGGGTGAAAGATACAAGAGATGTTGTGTTAGGCTAAAATCTTTACTGAGAGTAAGCTCCATTAAACAATGAGAGTTACTCTAGAGTAGACATTCAGTCGGCTGACAGCTCTCTAGTGTCAAGCCTCCCCATCCATGCAAAGGAAACTACAGACAGAAATACGACTACATATTGAAAGTCGTCTTGCTTCACACCTTCAGGCCAGCACATGTGAGTAGACTATGCCAGGGAACACAAAGTTTCGCCTAAAAAATTTGAGAGTTGCCACCTTTTTTCCTAGAAGAGCTCCTGTGCCTTTAATAAAAGGCCAGAAACAACAACAAGAAGGCAGGTTATTTTTTTTCCTTCCATCCCCCTCGTCCCTCCACGGAAAAGCACCACCTGCTTAAATTCCAACTTCTCAGGTAGTGGGTAAAGACATGGGGGCGGGGGGGGGCAGCTGAAACATTGTCACGTTCTGCTCTACTTCTGCAGGCTACAGAGGGGGGAGGGGGAGGAGGAGGAGGGAGAAGCTAATCGCGTGTGTTTCTTTGCCTTTAGACACAGGCGCGGTTTGCTACAGAGCAAAATCGAGGGGAGCGGGAGGTGGATACCACCGCTCAGCCTCGATCTTTAACCCGACATGTTGGACGGGACAGTTTGCTCAGGCTGCAGCCCCGGACAGTTACCTGAAAATACCATAGATGTCAATGGGCTTTTGGAGAGGGGAGTTGGGGCTGGCTAGGCTTGCCCAGGTAGTTACGGGTTTAGGCGACGAGGATTGGAGAGGCGAGCCTCCGCACTCGCTCAGAGGGGCCTTCGCTCCTCTTCGGCCTGGGCTCCAGCTTTCAGGACTGAGACGTGGCACTGCACATGCCGAGTCTCAACCCCGTTGCCGTTCGTCCAGGCTGAATCCCACTGAAGGGAGTGGGCCTGACTCCCGAGCAAGCCTGCGCTGAAAGCCGCCGGGTGCGATGTGGAGCCCGCGTGCTGCGGGGCTTCCGGCTCGCCGCGGCCCCCTGGAAGGAAGTGCGAGGAAAGCAGCGCCCAGAGCGCGGGCCCTCGGAGGGCAAGGCCGGGCGCTCGGCGCCGGAGGGGCCCGCCACGTGCCGGCCGGCCGGCGCGCGTCGCCTCTGCCCGCGCAGCCCCGACGAAGCCCTTTCCTCCGCCCAGTGAGCGCCAGCCTTGCGCCGCTCCCAGGAGAAGCGCCACGGCTCGGCGGCCGCCCCTGCCCTCTCGCAGCCGCCCGCCACGCTGCCCTGCGCCGGCCGGCGGCCCCAGAGGCGGCCCCCAAGCCCGGCCGCGCTGTGAACGGCTCCCCCCCTCTCCCCAGAGGCAGAGCCGGCGGAGGAGGCTGGGGCACTCGCTCCCAAGGAATCAGCTTAGGCTCTCGCCATGCAGTCCAGCGCCAGCGCAACGGGCTCTGCACCCGCGGAAGCGGACTGAAGGCTGGGCCCCTCGGGGCTTTTGCCCTGCCCGCCTCGCGGGCTGAGGTTCTGCCTGTCCAGCGCAGGCCTGCTGAGATGAGCAACGTTGGATGCAGCCCTTGCCCAGCCTTGCGCGCTCCAGATGCGTTGGGCTGGAGCGCCTCGAATCCCTCCGCCAGCCATGCTGACGGCGACTCTGAGAGCTGTATTCCCAACTCGTATGAAGGGCCCCATGCTAGAGAGGGCTGAGCTACAGTGCGAGCCTGTTCGTGTCTACTCAGGCGTAAGTATGACTATGCTGAGTGCGGAGTACTCTCAGGTAAGCGAGTATAAGATTCAAACGTTTGCTTCTTAGGCCTTTTCCTTCTCTTACTGCTGGGCCAAAAGAGCTTTCCCTCCAGGTGGAAAACATGCTTTATTGGTTTCATAAAGGTTCTCTGTTCGCTCGCGGTCCATCTCTACCCCCCTTCCTTTTTTTTCCTAACCCTTCTTCCCCAATCTGTTTTACAAGTTCCAATCAAATTGTGCCTTATGAGCTGCGAAACAGTCCTGAAAGCTAATCATGTCCGCAGAGCTCTCCCTCCCCTCCGCCAGGGCATCTCGTGCTCTCGAGATCTATGCCCCAATATTCACCTGGACATGAGCAGATCCTTCACGTAAGCACAACATATTTATCTATCCTGCCTAATGGGAAACCGCGCTTCTCTGCTGCAACGCCTCTGTAATTTTCTTCTATTACAAGTGTGTCTTTTTCTTCTCCAGCCCAAAGGTCAGAAACTTCCAGCCCGGCTCTGTTCACTCCTGCTCAGTGTGTTCCGTGGCCGATTCCCAAGGCAAGCTGCACCTGGTTGCAGCCTCCAAAGGTATGCTCACAGACTTGGGAGTAAGCCCATCTGTGAACCGGATTTCCGAGTAGGTATGCCTAGGATTGCAATCCAGCCCGGGGGAGAGAGAAAGCAGTCCTGTCGAAGAACTTGGGTCAAAATAAGAACTTTTAAAAAACTAATGGTTGGATCTGATTTAGAGACAGGATTCTAACTAGGCCTGAATAGATGAACGGGGGTAAGCTTTCTTGTATCTCAGCCGTCCTACTGAGCCGGTTTACATATAGCACTGTATCCCAACTTGCTACAATTACAGATAAAGATGGTCCCTAAAGGTGGCATAACTATATGTTTACTCAGAAAAGAGGTGTGCCCTTCCCAGCATCCCCCATCCACCATGCTGCCTGGGAAACACTGGGAATTGAAAGGTTTGGATTTTCCCCCAAAGATTGTGCCTCAAGCAACAATAAACTGAACTAAACGAAGCCAATACAATTCTATTTGAATAGCCCATTCATTCATTCATTCCATATATGAATCCCATTTTTATGGGAATCACGGCATTTTGGTTCCAAAGCAGAGAAAATTCTATGAGAAGGATCCCTGATGAAAGAAAAGAATTGCTGTCCTGTGGACACTACGTAACACACACTTCGGGGACTCCATTCTGTACTACTAAAAGGATAGTGTAAGCTCTCAGAAGCACTTTATTTATTTGATTGCTAAGCCACCCAACAACTAAAGTTTCAATCGGCATTCTTCATAACGGTGCCAAGGTGCCCAGTTCAGAGTGCGGGTTAAAATTTCACGTTTCAGAGAAAGGGATGAAGTGAACACTGCGTGATGCCTCCCTTGCTTCAGCTGAAGCAAGCCCCATTTTATTCAGCCGTGATTGCTTCCCAGTCGGCAGGCATACAGGTGGTGTCTTAATCCATCCAGTTAACATGACTCTGGGCGAGATCCAGTCCGTCAACACACCCAAGCCCACCTTGAGGTAAAAGGAAAGGGGGAGAGGCAGAAAGCCTGCCTTCCTCCTGTCCTAAAACAGAAATGAGAGCTGACCAACTATACTTAAGTGGCTTGGTGGGGGAGTCCTTCCCCTGGACCTGAAGGGAAGCAACCCAGGAATCTCCTCCACTTAAAACTGCTGGTTTCAAATAGGCAAAGTTACAGGGTTTGTGCTGCAAGAGGGCTCGCCCTACCTGACGGGCTGTACCATTCACACTACCTATTCAGGCACGCATTGGAGTCCACAAACCCTTTTTGGCCTACAAATGGGATGCCTAAATTCAAGGCTTGTTTTATTGCCTTTGCTTAAGCTCAAACCACTAACTACTCCTAAACAAGCTCCCCTCAGTTCTTCAATGGCCATGTTGCACATTTGCCAAATTAAAGTCCCACTCTCCTAAGCATGTTTGCTCAAAAATGATTTTTATGGGATTATTAACTTCAAAAAAAGAATGCTTCAGCTTCCAAGGGTACAGTGCTTAGGTACCAAAAAGAGTCAGGGCTCAGGCCCACAGGACAAAAAGAAATACACAAATTTGCAAATGCTCCAAAGTCTGTCTCTGCCTCTCTCTGTGTGTGCATGTCTTAGCACCACTCAAGGAATACCACCTCTCTTTGTGGAAATGATTGTGTGGACAAGGGAGAAAGGACATTTACTTTTAGGGTAATCCCCCCTCAGACGGAAAGATTTATCGTGGGGAGGGGGGCAACAGGAGGTAAATGACAGAGAGCATCAGGGTCCCTAAACTTATGTTTCAGCAAGTGCCCATGGACAGCAGGGTGGTGGGACAGATGGCCTCTGGGCTTGGGCTGCCCACTAACCCCACCTCTGGTTCCTATGGATGTTTGCTGGGGGTAAGAGAAATCCCACAGTAAGATTTGCTTTCCTTCCTATAGAAGAGTGTACTTCCTATGCACACCTACTTGAAAGTACTGAGTAAAGTTTATTCAAAACCTTGCATGAAATCACATTGTTAGAGCAGCAATGAATTCAGAATGGTATGTTTTTTTTAAAAGCTTAGGATTACTGCTGTACTCTCTCCAAACACCCTAGACAGACTCACCTGACCAAAAGTACCTTGCAACTGCATGGGACTTTTTTCTGAGTGGATTTGCCTGGTACTGTGCTGTGAGGGGTGAAGGGTGAACTAATACATCTACTGAGGCAAGTAGACTGGCTATTCCAGTGCTCAGCTCCAGGGAAGGTTTTTCTCGGTGTGATGTCTTTTTGTTTAAGGAATCTGATTGAGAGATGCAGATTAAAATTCAACAGCTGTAGCCAAAACACCTGCAATCTATTTCTCTGGATACAATAATGGGGATTAATTGCTCTCCCTCTCTTTCTGTTCTAAGAAAGAATTCAAACCTCGAAGATGAAGGTTAGAATCTTTGGAAGTATAAATCGTTTCCACAGGATCTAAAGCAAAAACAGATCACCAAAGGAATAAGCAGTCAATTTTGTTTCTTTCTTTTATCTGAGTCCTGGAGGGTGCTTTTGACAAGTAGTAGAAGGCAATGAACTTAATACCCAGAGTCTGACCCAGTCCTATGTACTGTTAAGGGGCACAGCACTTGGACTAATATACATGGAACTACCACCACTGATCCCAACAACCCCTTTTTCTGCATCTTGAAGATCACAGTACAAAAGAGTCCTAACTTTAATTCATGAGGAAGGGAGAGAAAAAAAACTGGATTGGAGCAGAAGGAACAAACCAAACAGGAAAGAAAGGGTATTAATTTTCACTTTGTTTTGCTTGTGGGAAGTGGGAAAGTAATATAGATATGATGAGGCCCTGACTAATTATGTTTGGTTGCACATGGAAGATATTCATGAATCCACACATTTTTCAACCACATGTGAAATGTCTTTTAATGTGTGTGTATATACATACTCAAATGTTCTGTCTGTGTACAGTTATTGGTGGAATAGTGCTCATATTGCACAGGTGTTGCATGTAGCATATTCAGGAGTAAGTATCTGTACAAAACGTGTGACACATTTGCCTAGGTCAAAGCATCCCCCATATGTGCTTCACATAATCCCTCCATCTGATATAT